CCCCAAAACCCCAAAACCCCAAAACCCCAATTTAAGTAAAATTATAAAAACTAGTGCGAATAAATATGAAATTTCCAAAGTGAGACTTCTCGTACAACTGTGCAGAAGTTAGGTTTATGGTAAAAGCGACAGAAGAAAATAGGTTTGAAAGGGATGTATTTGTGTGACAGAGATGTGCCGATACTGTTGTGGTGAAGGAGACTGTTCAGCCGATTCCGGATTTAGCCACTGTGATTGAGGTGTTGGATATGGCTGAGTATTATATGGTCAAGATCGATACTTTTAGGGAGATTCAGAAGGTCAAGAGCAAGGAAATTTGGTAAGAAGTTTAGGAAGGGCGAATGGGGTTGGATGGAGATAGAAAAGATAGTTTTATAAAAGATTTTGTATTGGAATTTCTCATCATAATCATAGGTTATCTCAATGGGATAGATTGCTCGATGATTTGGAAGAGTATAAAGAAAAACATAGAATCTTAAAGGGTAAGTCCTATTTTCTAAATTTATCATGGCTTACAAAAAATAGCCTGATCCTAATTCTGTTGGCCAAAGGGCTTTAATCTTCCATAATCTCCTGCTAAAATAAGCATCAGTTCAATTGTGTATCTATAAAATTAAACTCATATTCAAGACCCCATCTTAAAAATTAACAAAAATAAAAATGAGCTTGAACATTTAGAGTGTTTGTATTATCTATATTTCATTATTTATGCAAGCATTTATAGCTTTATTACTAAAGCTTTTCAAGTTTTAAGCTCCCTCAAATATATTTCCCATATAGAAAACTTGGTATCAATAGATCTGAACAATAGTTGGAATGAATTGCCGTACCTTCATATAGAAGCAAAAGAGTTTTTAGATTCTCTTATTGAATCTAAACTTATCAAACAGTATAATCATCAGAAAAATTGAATGAAATTCATGGAGGATAAGTACCAAATCTTTAGAGAGCGAAATGCCTCTAAAGCATGGGTGAATTCTCAGATTTGTAAGCTCAGAGACTTCATTGGCGATACTGACCACGGAAGAGTTCTTGAGAAGCTCAAATAAAACAGAAAAACTCTGAACTCAAAAAGATCAGCAATTGGAACAATTTTCAAGAGTTATCATTGAGAAAGATAAGACTATTGATCTGCAAATGGGAAAGATATTATATAAAGACAATCAAATTACTTTAAAAGAAGCAAAGATAAAAGAAATTACAAAGAAGAATGAGTCTAACAGACAAATAATTAGAGATAAAAATAATATAATTAGTAAACACATTGCCCAAATTGAAAAGCTAAAGGAAGAGAATCAGACATTAAAAAATTTAAGTAAAAATTTAGAAAAAGAGAGAAGAACTTTTAATAAGAGTCATTCAGACAATTTTGCAAATATTCAAAGTCAAAATGAAGAAACTAAAGAAGGTAATTAGATATTTACATATAAAAATTCTTTCTATTTCTAATGAAGAAAACTTTTATACTCTACTTGACTCTATGAATAGCTTTCTTGCACATAGAATTCTCAATAAACCCGTATATTCTCCAACTGGTTTTCTACCATTCTACAATTTCTGCTGGAAAGGTAGATCGCTAAGGGAAACTACAAACTTGTTTACCTTAAGAGAACTTGTTGTTCTGTAGAGAAGGGGTTAGTTAGATGCAAGGAAAATTAGAAAGCTGATTGAGTAAAAGCAGAAGGGATTTAGACATAAATACATCGATAGAGGAATTAAATTTAATAGAGAGTGTAAATTATGGGTGTTGGGTTGTAGATAGGTATTTTGGGAGAAGAAGAATGATTTAGAGAGCTTTAGTAAGTTTTATGAGATGAAATTGGAAAGAATTTTGATGGCAGCCAACAAAATAAAGATTTTATTACTTTTCTTCTATGATTTTAAAAAAATCTACATCAACATCAAACTTATCCTTTACTCTAGATCCATTCTTCTTGAACCTCTTAGACAACTCAATGGAATCATCCACAACTCTAATTGAGCCCTCCACAACCTTCCTCACCCCCATACTTGAATCAGAATACGACCTATCATCTCCATCCTCACTCACCTCCCTCAGAGACTTCAGTAACCACAAATTCCCCCACCTCCCGTCCCTCACCTTCACTCACCTACACAAACTCCCTTTAAACTCCTTCCTGGAGTCCAACTCCTTCACCTCCATAAACCAGTTCTCTCTTCGTAGCCCTTACGGTCTCCCTTTCGAAATCTCCCCTTACACCAAAACCTTAGGCAAGATCTTACCCAAAGTAGTCGCCCAAGTAACTGTTTACTCAGCAGTTCTCGGCAATAAGCAGTTTGAAGATTTGTTAGTGGCTGCCAAAAATGTTAAGACTGTTAAGTTTGGGTGCTGTATAATAGAGACGGATAAGAAGTGTGCTTTCAGGAGTAGGCTGAAGGGAGCCAGGGTCCAGAGCATTGATTTTGAAGGGACAGGGTATCAGGAGAGGAGTAATTGGGGTGCTGATGGGTGTAAGAGGTTTAGGAATATAGTTAAGGGGTTGGCTGAGGTGGAGAGTATTAGGAACAGAGGGATTTTTATGGGGTTGATATGTTGTGGAATGAAGAAGGATGAGGTTTTAGAGATTTTAAAGGAGTTTGAGATGGATAAGATGATACCCAATTTGGATAAATCAGTTATTATGGGAAGAGCACCTAAATTTTATTCATAATATCGTGAGAAATTCAATTAAAAATTTATCTTGGGGTTTTGGGGTTTTGGGGTTTTGGGG